CCCCCCCACCCCCAGCCAGTCAGTTTATCGCTCTCCCTTTATTCCATTCAAACACTCAGTTTCGCAGACATAATATACTATGTCATACCTCCACCTCTTTGCCCATGTGGTTTCCTCTGCTTGGAACACACTTCTCTATCTTCCTTCTCTTTCTGACTGCCACTCACCTCTTAATACCACACCAGCCCAGGAAGCCTGCTCAGAGCCTCACTAGTGATTCAGATAGTTGGTGCCTATGTTTCTAGCACCCGTCTAGCATAGCCATTATTCCACTTTGCTGCAACACTGTCTCCCCATGAGACCATTAGCGACTGAGGGCACAGACCATGTTTCATGCTTCATCCGCAGCATTTAGCACAGTGTCTGGCACGGAGGAGTCATTTAAGTGCTTGTCAAGTGAGTGTCCGTGTGAGCTTGGAATTAGCATTTGCGTAGTGCACAGCCCTCAACACCCAGGAGGCAATCTGCAGTAAAAAAGTTCAAAAGAAACAGGCCCCTGAATTTCACAAGGTGGTGCAAAAGGCACATGACTAAGAGAACTGTGCCAGAAATAAAACATTCTTCTTAGAAAAAGCAGTGGGCAAAAACCATCTTGATTTGGTGGAGTGCCGTGACAAAACAAGTAAGATTGTTGTGTGATCGCCAATTTCTCATGTTGAAAACCCAAAATTCATAACTGAGTTTGGCCTTGAAAAACTGCTGGTAGAAGTTAGGTTCTAGAAAACATTTGTAATTTTTACGGAAGAATTTAAGCAAACACATACATACATATAATGAGACATGAGGTGACAAAGATAATTCTGCTGGGGGAAAAGCAGCTTAAGAAAGTACCTGAAGATAAACCTTCTTCACACCAGGCATATAATCTGCGATCCGGCCAAAGAGCAGCCGTCCGACTCCTGAAGTGATGCCAATGCACATGAGAACCACCTCTTTATTTTTTCCATCTTGAAATCTTTCATTCACATATTTCATCTGTGGACCATCAAGAAAGAAGCAACACTAAATACGGTAGGAAAAACTGACAAGTTTTGACACAAAATGCCTTTGTGTCTCCACAATGTTATGGATTCTCACCCCCTTCCAATTCCAAATATTTATACAATTTCTTCTGTGATAATTGTTCATCAGAACATACGAAGACAAAGCTAACATGATTTAGCTTGCACAAAAGAAGAATTGTTAGGAGAGGTCCTATTTCAAAAAAATGACGAATGTACATTTTATAAGTTAACCTTGAGCCATTAGCTAAAGGAAGAGAACATACTTTGAACACACCATATAGCCTTCTCCTCTCAAGGTCACCCCAGGACCCAATTATCTGTTCTCCTTACAGGCTATTTAAGACAGTTTTATCTCTTGTAGGAGGACCTGAACCAAACTGACACTCCTGAAACAGCTGGAGTGGAGCTTCCAGGATAAAGCAGAAGTAAGGTTCCCTACCTGTGAATTTGCCTATCTGTGTGACATCAGAACAGACAGATACACAGTTTAACACAGCGGTTAAGAGAAAAGCCTCTTAGACTGCATGGGTTCAAGTCTTGGTTCCATCCCTTATCAGCCTTGTGACCTTGAGTAATTTCTTAACCTCTAGGTCCTCAGTTGCCTTGTCTGTAAAATGGACATAGCAATAGTACCTCAAGTATTTAAAATATACAACCTATCACTGATACACATATCCATTGTAAAAAGATCCCCCCCCCCCATCAAATTAGTTAATACATCTATCACCTAACATATTTACCTTTTTGGGGGGAGGGGGGTGAGAACCCTTTTCTATTCTCTTGCAAATTTCAATTATACAATACCCTGTTGCCAACTATAATCAACAATATAATTAGATCCATTAGATCCTCAGACCTTATTTATAACTGAAAATTTTAATTTTAGCCTTCTTTTAAAGTTTATTTATTTTGAGAGAGTGTATGTGCGAGCAGGGGAGGGGCAGTGAGGGAGGGAGAGAGACAATTCCAGGCAGGCTCCATGCTCAATGCAGAACTCCACGCAGGGCTTGATGTCATGACCAACCAACCGACCATGTGATCATGACCTGGGCTGAAATCAAGAATCAGCTGGTTGGGGCACCTGACCTGGGTGGCTCAGTTAAGTGTCCGACTTCAGCTCAGGTCATGATCTCACGGTTCGTGAGTGCAAGCCCCGCGTCAGGCTCTGTGCTGTCAGCTCAGAGCCTGGAGCCTGCTTTGGATTCTGTGTCTCCCTCTTTCTGTCTCTGTCTCTCTCAAAAATAAATAAACATTAAAAAAAAAAAAAAAAGAATCAGTTGGTTAAATGACTGAGCCACCCAGGCACCAGGCACCCAATTTTAGCCTATCTTTTTTCAAGGACCTTTTCCCTCTATTTGCAGTGTACTTAATGACTGTAAAACAACAACCTGACTATATTTTAAAAGGAAGTGTGGCCAGGCAGTTGTTATACTGGGTGAAAGAAAAATACACAGCAACTCAGCACCCACTAACATAAGCTTTGCTCCCACAGCCCCCAAGTTTCATCCCTATCTTAGGGATCTTATCTTATCCCTTTTCTCAATGATCATTTATCTGTGCTCACAAGGAAAAAAAGCATGTCTCTACTCCCACTGTTTTCTCTGCAATCGCAGAGATGTTTTAACTAACCCCAACAGTTGTTTCAAACAATCAGACTTGC